GGGCGAGGTCGTCAACAGCAAGGGCGAGCGGTGGGAGATACAGTTCAAGGGAGCGGGCAAGACGCCCTACTCTCGTACCGCAGACGGACGCAAGGTCCTTCGCTCCTCCCTCCGCGAGTTCCTCTGCAGCGAGGTGCGTTATTGGCCCTGATCGCCATTGATTGCGCTTGGTGCTCCTGTTGCGTCTCACTGGCTAGTTGTTGTTGTAGGCCATGCATTACCTGGGCGTACCGACCACTCGAGCGGGTTCTGTTGTGTCATCGGACACACACGTGGTGAGGGACATCTTCTACAACGGCAATCCGAAGAAGGTGAGATTCAACCCTCTTCAATCACAGCCCTCATAGCCAAGCTTCTCATCGCCTTGCGTCCCCTGCGTCGTAGGAGCGAGCAACGATCATTCTGAGGATAGCGCCCTCCTTCCTTCGTTTTGGCTCCTTTGAGATCTTCAAGCCGCGAGACCCAGAGACACAGCGAGAGGTGCGTCTGCAGTCTGTTCCATGCTTTGCTGAACCTCAGCTTGTTTTACTTACACGTGCTCTTCTCCCTATGTACAGGGACCCAGCGTCAAGAACATCAAGCTGCTGTTCAAGCTGCTTGACTACACGGTTGAGACGTTCTACCCCGACATCTGGCGGTCCACAACCGACCCCGAGGTTCGCTACCTCTCCTTCTACCAGGAGGTCGTTCGCCGAACTGCGAGGTGCGTAGGACCTACGACGTTTCAAGCTCGCGATCGCAAATTGCTCAACTGAATCATTGCATCATCGCTCGTTCTGTGCGTTGGCAGACTGGTCGCCGAGTGGCAGAGTGTGGGCTTTTGCCACGGCGTGCTCAATACGGACAACATGAGCATTCTGGGACTCACCATCGACTACGGACCCTATGGCTTCCTCGATTTCTACGACCCCGACTTCATTTGCAACGGATCAGGTACGCACCATCACTCGTCCTGGCTCGATGTTATATATTAATTTTTGTATAATTTATAGATGAATACTTAAGATGAGCTTTGCTGTGGTTTGATGGGGTGTGATGTGATGTCGTAGATGATGGTGGTCGATACTCCTACAAGAATCAGCCCGAGATGTGCCATTGGAACTGCAAGAAGCTGGCCGAGGCGCTGGCCATGGCGATCTCTCTCACCGACTCCGAGCGGGAGCTCGAGCGCATTTACTGGCCCGAGTACAACAAGCACTACAACCAAAAGATGAGAAACAAGGTACACCAGAACCACACGCTTCGCGCGGTGTCGAACGTTAAGCAACGATCGTCGCAATACTGACTCTTCCACCATTTCTATGGTGGGCTGTGTAAAGCTTGGCCTGCTGCAAAAGGAAGAGGAGGGCGACGAGCAGCTGGTCAAGTCCTTCTTCGACGCGATGCACGAGAGCGGAGCCGACTTCACCAACTCGTTCCGCGGGCTCGCTCGCGTTGCCCTCCCGTCGCCGTCAGAGACCATCGCCGAGAAGGACGAAGCCGAGGACGAGGCCCTGGCCTACCTTCTCCAGCAAGGTATATATATATGTTTTCCAGCTTTTCCAAGCTTTGCGTCGTGTGGGCGATGATGCACGTGGTGATAGGTGCTAACCTGCAAGTGTGGTCGTTATTGGCAAATCAGTGTGCAGCGCCGCGTTCATGTCCAAGCGGGACGGACCTTCGATTCCGATGGAGACGCTGCAGATGATGATCTCGGTCGCCCAGCAGAACCCGATGATGCTCCAGATGTTCGGGATGACGCCACAGAAGCTCATCCGCGAGATCAACAAGCTCAAGAAGCAGGAGGAGCGCGGCAGCGGCGCTGGCAACGTCGATTCCGCCAAGCGGGAGAACGACACCTTGATCTGGAAGGCCTGGCTCAAGAAGTACAGAGAACGCTTGCAGAGAGAAGTGAGGTACATACATCAACTAGACCCAACCCTACCAGACCCGCATACCCACATCCTTGATGGTCTCTCGCTTACTTACGCCTGGCCATCTTTCTTTCGATCATTCAGTGGAGCGAGTGACGATGAGATTAGGGAGCTCAATGAGAGACGCGTGCAAACGATGAACCGAAACAATCCCAAGTTCGCGCTGCGTAACTACATCGCCCAGAACGCCATAGAGAAAGCTGGTGCGGACGTGTTGTTGTTGTTATTCTGAGCTTCCTCAGTCGCGGGCCTTCTCACGCCAGCCCTTTTTTTTCTCGTGCACGCAGAGAACGGAGACTTCTCCGAGACCGAACGACTCCTGACTCGTGCCCTCTACCACCCCTACGGCGAGCAAAGTATAACCTCGTCTTCTTCTTTTCACGCCTCTACTGCAGCCTTTTATTTTAACGCCATGTTTTTGCTGTGTCTGCAGACGACACAGAGCTGTCGGAGAAATTCGCCTACGACGCCATACCACCGCAATGGGCGGCTGAGCTCTGTGTTACCTGATCTTCGTAAGCACTCCCTCGCCTGCTCTGCTCGAAACCCTCCAGCTCGAGTCCCTGCCCGGGCAAAGCTGGAGGTTGCAGAGGCTCCACAAGCGGGAAGTGCGCGATACCGCATTCCGACACTATGCACCCTAAGGTACTCGCAGCTTACCACAACACACACACACATACACACATACACAACACGCAACTCACAGGGTTGCCTGATTGGATCAGGTTTGCGAAGAAGACGGCCTAATGAAGAGTGGATCGAAAAGCCATCACCCGGACCGACCCAACTCTGAACCCGCCCCTTCTTCCTTTCCTCCCCTTACTTGCCAACTTTATAAAGAGATCAACCTCCTTTCTCTCGCTTCCGTCTCCTTGCATTCGCGAGCACCCCAAACCTTGGTTGCGTCCAGCCCGCTCACACACGACATAACAACACACTCACCCTCACACCATGCACACACACATACAAGACAATATCTTGACAGTTTAACAAACACATTGGATGCTTGCAATGTGAAGTGTGAGATTGTTTGGGTTGCAGAACGAACTAATGCTAACTGGACCACGCCACTCAATGAAATTTGTTCGCCAGGCCCAAGAAGGCAGCCACGGCGGAGTGACTAGGCGGCTCGGCCAACACGTTGCCCGCCACACTCATGCGACTCTGCCCGTGCGGCAGCTGTCCATCCACGTGGATGACATGTCTGTCAGTCATCGCCACGCACACGATACCACACGCTCCACGGCTTGCGCACTACACGTACCATGCAGATGCCGAATGGCGCTGCCCTTTCGGCTGTGTCGTCTGCGTCGGCTCTGCCGGGCAGGCTGTACTGGGGCGTGGCCGCAAGGGCGCACACGAACAGCACCGCCAGGACCCGCAGCCTATTGTCTCTCTCCTCATTCAAGTCCTCCACCTTTTTCTCCGCCAAGTCACAGTTGCCTTCGCCGTTGCTGTCGGCACTCGGACGCAAGCGCTCGAGAGGCGGGAGTAGCCCATAGGTGCGCGCCACCTCGCCTAAGAATTTGAGGCCAGGGCGGAGCTGCCAAATGCTTTTCCTGCCAGGCGTGGCCCTGCCATGGTAGATGAGGTCCGACCTGTCGTGGGCGAGGTGGAAGCTGCACACGCCGGTGAGGAGCACACCACACAACTCAAATGTGTCACATAACATTCCCACCCATCCACCCAGTGATTTTTGTTTTATGTGTGGCTGGTGGTGTAGGTACCGCTTGGCCAGTGATTCGCTGGAGGCCTGGGCAAAGAGCTTGATGTTGTGGGCATCCAGCGCAAAGCCCAGCATCAGCCAGCCTCCCTCGCCTGTTGCAATGACCATTTTGTTAGGCCAAGCGCTGTGTGTGTGTGGTGTGTGTGGTGTGGTGTGTGTGTGTGTGTGACAGCAGTGCGTGCTTGGGCGGTGTTAAGGGTACGCACCCGGGACAGCAAGGTGGATATTGGCTTGGCACCAGACAATCGGCTCTCTGCTATGCTTCGCTCTGATGCACTTGCCTGCCGCCACAGCGCCCAATCAGTCCCAGTCATTCTCAGCCCTGTGCGCGCTGTGGGGTGAGTGCGCGTGTTTTGAGAAGAAACCTTTTCCTCGCAGAATGTGGGGGAGCACTTGCTCCACATCGCTGGGTGCCACCGAATCCAGCTCCAGCGCCAAGTCATAGGCTTGTGGCAACCGCAACCGGTACCTCCAGGCCTTAACTATTTATCATCACGGGCGCTTGAGTGACGCACTGCGCCACCAATCACGCACATGGGACCAGGGGGGGCTTGGGTGGGGGGTTGTGCACTCCAGCGGGCCAGACGGCGGAGGAACGCGGGCGAGCAAAGCAAGTGGTTCAGGTCCAAGCAGATCGAGGCTGGTGGTGCGAGGAGCGGCTCCTCTCGGAACTGGTGGAGCTCCTCAGGCCTGTACGGCCCGCTTTCGCACCTTTGATCACCTTAGCTTAGTTGCAAACGTAACCAAACCCGCACATACAGCACCAACCGCACTCCACACACACACACACACACACATACACACACATACACACAAGACACACACAAGAAACACACACACACACACACACACGGCACACCACACGATGAGGAGTGATACCGGGTTGGTAGAAAGCGTCCTGCTGCGCAGACAGTGAAGAAGTCGGCCATTCTACACAGTGCAGTGCACTCAACCTGTCAGACACCGTGGCAGTGCCCCAACTTGAGATTGGGCCAGTGTGGGAGTACTCTTGTGGGTCAAGAGGCAGATGCAGGGCCTTGGCGAATCGGGTGAGCAACTCCGTGTCCAGCTGGCACGCACCGTCGGATTCACCAAAATCTAATGATGCCCCCCGTGCACGCACGCACGCACGAGAAAGAGATGAAGGAGAGTGGATGCTGAGCGATGGGTGATGGGTGATGGATGATGGCCACTCCGTACAGTACGCGTAGCGGTATCCAAAGAGCAGCGAAGGCTCCGCAGGGTCGCCAGAGCGCCGACAAAAGGCCTGCGCCGTCACGTCGACATCCTCTTGGGGGCGACCCGACAGCGAGTGTACCTTTCGAAGGGGAAAATGGTGAGGCACAGCATTGGCCTATGGGCCTGAAAGATTGGATTTTTTTTTTTTACGTACAATGTTGAGAATGAACGTGTCATGGCCTGCAGCATCGAGAGTGGGCACCTTCACCTCCAGGATGCACATCACCAGCTTGTTGTTCGAATCGAACCCTCGCTTGGCGTGACTCCGAACCACAACACTCTGGCCAGCCCCTCCACATCGCGCGTGCGCACGCACGCACACACGACACACGACACACGACACACGACACACGACACACCGGTTTAGAATTTGGAACTAAACCTAATGTGATACCAGTGGTGGAGAGGAGCCAGGGCTGGGGTAGGTACCTGGCGGATGGCGCGCACGATGGCGCGGTCCGCCTTGTCAAAGCCTGACCAGTAGTGCAGCTGCTCGATGCGCAGCTGGTGCCGCCGGGCGCTGATCTGCTGCCCCAACGCGTCGAGCGCCATTTCGGCGTTGGTGGCGAGATCCGGGTCAGGGCCATGGTCCTCCTCCGGCTGGGCCGCGGCGGCGGCGGCGGCCAGGGGTTGGTGGAGAGAGACGGAAGCGACGGCGGAGGCCACCAGGGGCACCAGCTCGAGCAGCACCACGCGCACCGCGCGCTGGTGGGCCAGCACCGCAGCGCGTGCAGCGCAACTGGTGGCCGCCAGGGCCAAGGCATCGTCCCACTCCAGCCTGCAGCCAAAACCGAGAATTATAATTAATCTTATTTTTATAAAAATAACAAATAAAAGAAGGTGAAGGGGAGGGACCAGTGGCAGAGTTCAAAAAGGACGAGGTCTGGGAGGTCCAACAGGCCGGTAGTACCAGCTGCAACGTTGTCGCCGGGTGCTTCTGGCTGAACTCGAAGGCGCTTACTTGCCGAAAGCTCCAACACCTCGGCGGCGTCGGCCTTCACCTCGACCAGACCCCGCTTCATTCCAATTTATTTTATTTTATTTTATTTTCCAGAATTGGATTTTCATTCTGGAAAATACTTGGCGGCGATTTCGGTGGTCTCGGCGACAAGGCCTTTATTGAATAAAACAGTTCAATAAACTGTTGCATACACCAAAAACCAACACAACAGAACATGGAAGGCGAGGCCAACAAGCAGTGGATTTATGTCAAGCGACCTGAGGTGAGGCTGCCACATGCACTCTTTGGCCAAAGGTCCATGTTGACGATCTAATCGATTACTGCTTCGATCTTGTGCAGGGCGAGGTGACAGAGGAGCACTACAAGCTGGTGGAGACACCCGTGCCGCAGCCTGGTGAGGGCGAAGTGCTGCTCAAGGCCCTCTTCATCACCGTCGACCCCTACATGCGCATCCAGCAGGTTTGTTTTAGACCCTTTGACAGATCTGCCGCCCTACTACCATCTTCCCACCTTCTCACGACGCGGGGTCACAGGCGGCGACCAACACGTGGGAAGCGCCTCACCCGCTGAACAAGGTTCAAGGCGCTGGTGCCGTGGGCGAAGTCCTCGTCTCCAACGTACGCACACCGCACACACACACGCGCGTGCACCACCTTTCGCCAAACGCAAACAACTCACTCTTGCTACTTGTTGCTGCTGGGCACACCAGGACACGACGGGCAGGCTCAAGAAGGGCGACGTCGTGTTGAGCTACTCGGGCTGGCAGACTCACGCCGTCGTGCCTGCCGCCTCCTGCCGCAAGATCGACTGGGATCCCAAGGTGAGCGAGCACCACACACAACACACACACACACACGCCTGGACGGCGAGCACGGTACTCACTACTGTGCGTGCGGGTCTGCGTGTGCGGTGTCAGGTGGCGCCGTACTCCTACGCGTTGGGCGTGCTGGGAATGCCCGGCCGCACGGCCTACTTCGGGCTCTATGAGGCGGGCAAGCCCAAGGCGGGCGAGACCGTGGTGGTGTCGGGCGCCGCCGGTGCCGTCGGCTCCATTGTCGTTCAGGTAAACACACATACACACACCACAGAGCGGCACCCCGCTCTACATCTCTCGGTCCACACGATCCTGACTTTCTTGTTCTTTTCGTGTTCGTCTATCGTCAGCTGGCCAAGATCAGAGGCTGCCGAGTCGTCGCCATTGCAGGCAGCGATGACAAGCTCCGGGTATGCGGGTCACTCTCAATGGGTCGTGCGCGCGTGCGTCGTGTGCGTGTGCTCTGGTCTCACGCGTAAGGGTTCCGGAGCGCAGTGGCTCAAGGAGGAGCTCGGCGCCGATGAGGTGTTGAACTACAAGGGCTGGAAGACTGTGGACGACGCGCGCCAGGCGCTCGAGCAGGCCTGCCCCAAGGGCGTCGACGTCTACTTTGGTATACTTGCCTCCTCACCCTCCTCCTCCCCCTCCTCGAACCTTTCACACTTCAAGACTGATCGGCGCACTCTCTGTCTATAGATAACGTGGGCGGCATCATCACGGACGCCATCATCCTGCACCTCATCAACACCTTCGCGAGGGTCATCATCTGCGGGCAGATCTCGCAGTACGAGGGCCACCTCGACAGTCCTCAGGTGCGCCTGCCGTGTGTGCCGCGTGTATGCTGTTTGTCGTGTGTGTCGCGTGTGTCGGCGGTCGTGTGCGTTCCTTCGTGGTTTAACCTCTGCTCGTCGTCTTTTCAGCTGGGTCCTCGCTTCCTTCACCGCATCCTCTACACGCGGGCCACCATTCAGGGCATCCTCGCCCGAGACTACAATGACCGGATGGACGAGATGCTCCAGCAGATGGTCCCCTGGCTCTCCGAAGGTACTCTCTTCGTTGTCGTCTTCTTCTTCTTCTGTCTGACTTGAAGTCCCTTCGAACGTAGGCAAGCTCAAGTACGCAGAGACTGTGGTGGAGGGCTTTGAGAAGCTGCCCTCCGCGCTCAACTCGCTCTTCTCGGGGAAGAACACAGGCAAGCTCGTCGTCAAGGTGTAAGCTTGCATCTACATTATGATGAAATCAAGTCTACACATTTGAGCTTGGCATATGTTACTCTTGATGCGGGATTACCTTTTCTTCTTCAAGTTGCGCGGGCTTAGGGTTCGTAGGAGGGCATGCAGCACCAGTAGCAACAGCAGCAACACCACACGAACAGGTTCGAGCAGTCGCACTCGGGCTCATCTCGTTG